TTTCTGGATCAGTGGATGTAAACTTTTTTTATTGATTTATTTGAGAGGCAGAGTTACAGACAGAGAGAGGGAGAGACAAAGAAAGAGATCATCCACCTGCTGGTTCACTCCCCAAATGGCCACAACAGCCAGAGCTGAGATGATCCAAAGCCGGGAGCCAGGAGCTTCTTCTGGATCTCCCACGTGGGTGCAGGGCCCAAGGACTTGGGTCATCTTCTACTGCTTTCCCAGGCCAGAGCAGAGAGCTGGATCAGAAGTGAAGCAGCCTGGACATGAACCAGTACTTGTATGTAATGCCAGCACCACAGGCTTAGCCTACTACGCCGCAGCAAGGGGCCCCAGATATAAATTTTTTATGAGGGTAAAGAAAAAAAAAATGTTAGCAACAAGTGAACATGTGGAATGCAGCTAATATTTATTTAGCATTCACTCTAAGCTAAAACTGTACATGTTAACTTCATTTAATCCTGCAAACAACCCTATGAGATGGGCATTGTTATTCCTGTTATATATTAATGTTAGCCGTCGCAAAACACACCGAACACTGGAGTAAGGGAAAGGGTTTATTCGGTAACACCCAACAGACTGGAGTGAAGGGGAGGCGAAGGAAAAAGAGAAAGAGAGTATAAGAGAGAGAGCCAGAGGAGAGGAGCTAGTGATGAGAGAAGATAGAGCAGAGAGACGAAAGAAGAGAGGAGGAGAGGAGCCAAGAGAAAAGAATCAAGAGGGAAGAGCCAAGAGAGCACGTGTGCAGGGACAGGCCCTTTTAAAACTTTGCCTGAGGGCGGGCAGGGAAGCAGGTGCAGCGAATCCCATTAGGATGGGGGTGGAGCCTGGCTCAGGTAGCTAGGCAATGCAGCCACCTGGCTAAAACTGCGCCAATTCCCATTTTACAGATGAGAACAGGATAAAATAGCTGTTCCATAGCAGTGGAGGAACAAAACACAGCCTTAGTGACTAGAAAGACAAAGCAACAGTGGGATGATCTGCGTGTGAATACATTATAGTGGTGCTTTATGGATGTAGGACTGAAAACGCCTCAAATCAGTCTTCAGAATTGCCTCAAACCAGTGATCCTAAGTGTGGTCCCAGGACCAGCAGCCTCAGTATCCCTGGGGATGTGTTAGAATACAGATCCTCGGGCCTCATTTCAGACCTGCTAAAATAGAAACTTGGAGTGCGGGGCTCAGTAATCTGTGTCTTAACAAGCCTGCCAGGGAATTCTTTCTTTTTATTAATAGATTTATTTTCTTTATTTGAAAGGCAGAGTGGCAGAGAGACAAGGAAAGACAGAGAGATCTTCCATCCATTGGTTCATTTCCTAAATGGTCATGAAGCCAGGAACCTGGAACCCATCTGGGTCTCCCAGGTGTGTGCCAGAGGCCCAGGTATTTCTTCTGCTGCCTTCCCAGGTGTAGGGAGCTGGATCAGAAGCCAGTGCCCTCCCTCCGGGGAATTCTGACACTCGCTGAAGTTGGAGAACTACTAAAGTGGCCAACACAGCTTCAGGGAGCCAGCACATAGGGCAGCTAATTAAACAGCAGCTGGGATTACCAACCTTTAGGGGCGTTAAAATGTCACAGAAATGAATCAGAGCTATTGGGTCAATTAACTTCAATCTCTTTTTCTCTGTGAAAAGTGAATTAATCTTACTCGTATTGCATACAAGCAATAAATTCTTTGTTGTAAATTTGAACATATGACAGAAAAATGATATTTATTTAGAATATTCTTGTGCTCTCTACAAAAGACTGATCATGGTAACTGGAAAAATTTTTACTTGTTTCGCACAAGCTCGTCAGCATTTGTCAAATGGCATCTTACCTCCACACGCCTCCCTTGACGCCTGAAAGGTGAACAGTACAGATCCCCCAAAACTTTGATTCATGGATTTTCTTAGCTCAGATTCCCTAGAAGCACAGCCCGACATGGTGATTCTTGTGCAAGTGATTTGCTTGGGAAATATTCTTGGGAGAAACAGGTTAGAGCCACAGGAGGAACCTAAGCCAGGATGTGATCTGAAATGAATGCCGGTTTCAACTTATTCTTATCCATGAGGAGCTTTGGAGCATTAATTTCTCCACAGAGCTGGGAGCAAAGGGAGCCAAGTCTTTGTGTCCCTAATTTCTGTCACTTGTTGATGGTGGGCTACCAACGGTGGACAGGAGCGAGAGTCGGACTTCCCGGGCTAAGAGAGGTGGCTGAGCGCAGTGCTGTGAGACATTAGTAGCTGGAGGATGGACAAACTCAAATAAAAGGGATCTGGACAAGGCACCACTGCACCTACTGCATAGCTGTTCACTGGTTCTCCGGATAGCAGTATATCTTTGCTTTAAGTGTGAACTCTCAGGGCCAGCGTTGTGCTGTAATAGGTTAGGCTGCTCCCTGCAATGCTAGCATTCCATATGTGTGCTGTTTCAAGTCCCGGCTGCACCACTCCCCAATCAGCTCCCTGCTAATGCACCTGGGAAAGCAGCGGAAGGTGGCCCAAGTCCTTGGACCCCGGCATGTATGTGCCCATTTGGGGAGTGAACTAGTAGATGAAAGATCTCTCTATCTCATCCTCTTTCTGTCTGTAACTCTGCCTTTCAAATAAATACACCAAATCTTTAAAAAGTGAGTAAAAAAGAGAGAAAAACAACAGTGTGAACTTTCTTCTCTATCCCATCCTCACAGAACCAATCATGCTTCCCATTGAACCAGCCTGCTTCCCATTCCCCACTCAGCCTATTGGTACATCAGGGCAAATGGTTTTATTTGCAGGACCTCAGATAGCTTGCCGCAGGGTGTTGAACATATGAATTCTCCCTTCTTGTGTGTGTGTGTGTGTGTACATATATATATATGTATATATATATTAGGAACATTGTTATCTCCTGAATTTTCATTTTGTGAAATGAAGGAAGATCCTGGATTTTAATTTGTTTTAAAGATTTATTTGTTTGTTTGAAAGAATTACGGGTGGGGAGAGGGAGGATTTTCCACTTACCAGCACAGTCCCCAGATGGCTGCACTGGCCAGCACTGGGCCAGGTCAAAGTCAGGAGACAGGAGCTTCAGGCAGGTGGCAGGGCCCCAAACACTTGGGCCATCTTCCACTGCTTTTTCTGAGGCCATTAGCAGGGAGCTGGATTAGAATTGGAGTAGGGGCCAACACTGTGGCATAGCGTGTAAAGACGCCACCTACAGTGCCGGCATCCCATATGGGTGCCGGTTTGAGTCCTGGTGGCTCCACTTCCCATCCAGCTCTCTGCTATGGCCTGGGAAAGCAGTGGAGGATGGCCCAAGTCCTTGGGCCCCTACACCCACATGGGAGACCAGGAAGAAGCTCTGGCATCAGATTGGTTCAGCTCCGGCTGTTGTGGCCAATTGGGGAGTGAACCAGCAATGCAAGTCCTCTCTCTCTCTCTCTCTGCCTCTCCTTCTCTCTGTGTGTAACTCTGGCTTTCAAATAAATAAATAAATCTTAAAAAAAAAAGAAGTGGAGCAGCCAGCACACAAACCAGTGCCCATACAGGATGCCAGGGTCACAGGTGGCAGCTTTACCAGCTACAGCACAGTGCACGTCCCAAGACTGAATTGTTTTTAACCCCCAGTTCAGTTCTAAACTTCATTTGCCCAATGATTTTGCTTCAAAATGCATTTATGCCTTATTCACAAAACAAAAAAAAAAGAGTTTGTGTTTGCAACATGCATCAAAATAAAAGTGAAGTGTAAATAAAAAAAAAAAATGCATTTATGCTCACATTTCCTCTGAGAACCAGTTTCACAAAAGCACCGATTAGAAACTAAGCCTCATGTCATCAACATAAATCAGACACTAATAAGACCATAGGGCCAGCGCCGCGGCTCACTAGGCTAATCCTCTGACTTGTGGCACCGGCACACCGGGTTCTAGTCCCTGTCGGGGCGCCGGATTCTGTCCCGGTTGCCCCTCTTCCAGGCCAGCTCTCTGCTGTGGCCAGGGAGTGCAGTGGAGGATGGCCCAAGTGCTTGGGCCCTGCACCCCATGGGAGACCAGGATAAGTACCTGGCTCCTGCCATCGGATCAGCGTGGTGTGCCGGTTGCAGTGCACTGGCTGCGGCGGCCATTGGAGGGTGAACCAATAGCAAAGGAAGACCTTTCTCTCTGTCTCTCTCTCTCACTGTCCACTCTGCCTGTTAAAACAACAACAACAACAACAACAAAACATAGAAAATTTTAGCACATGTGACAGAGTCATTTCATTTGATCTGACCATGCTTTCTTTATCAATAACTGATATTCATTTGTCTGGATAGCTCTTAAGGAAGAATTTCTTTACAATATTGAAGAATTGCAAGTTGATTCTCAAATCCCTATTCCAATGATCTGTGTCATTTACTGAAGAAAGACAAGAAGCCATTATTATTTTCACCCTGGGGTCTTTAAAAACCTAGCAGAAACTGAGATGAGACACCGAAGCCATCAGTGCACTGTCTCTATGTGTCTCATTGTCTTCAAGTATAAGGTGATATTGAAAGAATTTCTGATGTAAATTGTTGATGCTAGGGTTGCCCCTACCAGATACTGGTCCTTTCTGTGATTTAAAACAAAGCACCTATTCAGGTTTAAGAAATAATGAAACGTTTCTCGTCTGGGTAGACAAGTTACAACAAAAGGCACTCCTTCCTCCTGGCTGGAAGGCCGATAAGGACATGCTAGAGTTCAGATGTTAGTTTCAGTGTTCCCTGAAAGCTCATGTGTTAAAGGCCTGGCTCCACAGTGCTGCTATTGGGAAAGGGTGGAGGTTTGATCCAATTATGGTGTTTAGGAGATGAGCTGAGTGGGAGGTCCATAGGGCATTGGGGCTTGCCCCCAGAAGGTAGTTCTTGCAAGAGGATTGGTTGCATAAGCCCGAGTTTGACCCAGTTATGAGCTACCTGGTTATGCTCTCTCTCTCTCTCTGCTTCCTGGTGTAGGACCCCAAAAGCGGTGTCCTCTTGTGACGACCCCAGAAACACAGACTCCGGACCAGACGATGCAATAGAGCAGGAGGTAATTTTATTTCATTTGTACAAATGGGCCCTCTACTGCTGCAAGCAGCAAGCAAGTGAGAGGAGCCCCGAGCAGCTATCTCACACAGCTTTTAAAGGGCAAAACCACAAAATTAACATATGATAGGCTGGCGTAAGTTCATTGGATAATTTTCAGTAGCGGGCCTTGTATGGCAGTCTAAAAGTGGTAATGTCGGTGGAAAAGTACTAGGTCAAAGGGATACATTAGGGGAGGGGGTCTCTAGGAGAGAGGAGTAGGTTGCTACGAGCCTTGCAGCTTTCTTTGTTAACCTTGAGCAAGTGTAGGGAAGGGGCTTATCTACAAGGCAGGTGTTCTGTGTATCTCTGGTTAGTAGCTGACTGCTTTCTCTGTGAACCGGTTTACTCCCCATTTCCCAAGGCCGTCTCTGGAACGGTTTGTCTCAGGAGCCCCATTTTTTTATGGTGGCTCTTGGCTCCTTTCACCTGGATCACCATGTACACCTTTCACTGCATGTGTTCTGCCACCCACCATCCTCATCAGACATCAGATCAATGGGGCCACCTGATCTTGGACTGCAAACCTCCAAAACTGTGAGATAAAATAGACCTTCCCTCATAAATAGCTTGTCTTTGGTATAGTCGTAGTGAAGAAAATCTGATTAATACAGAGACACAAGACTTGGTATTTGAAATGCAGACCGAGTCTGAAGCTTTCCTCGCATCTTTCACCTGAGATGTTTATACAGGATACAACTCACATGGGCAGTTTAATAGCTCCCTTATCTGTGGGTTCACTTTCAGTTGGTAGGGCTATTGCAAATCAAAAATATTAAATGGAAAATTTTATATCTTGAGAGGGAGAGAAAGAAACAGTGAAGAGACACACACAGAAAAAACATTCACTTAACTCTTACTAAGTATATTATACTTTAAAAATTTTATCATTAGTTGTCAATCTCTCACTTTGTTTACAAATCAAACTTTATCACAGATATGAATATATAGGAAAAATACAGTATATATGTATATATATTTGCATGTATATATAAAACTACCCATGGTTTCAGGCATCCATTGGGGGCCTTGGAACATACCTCCCAGAGATAAAGGGAGACTACCATATATGGTGCTCCTTGTTGTAGGAGTCTCATCATTGTGACTTGACTGAGTTTCCATTATTTAATGCAACCCTTCATATTTGTCAAAGGACATCAATCCTACAGAACCTCTGCCTGGCACCATGTCACAAGATGTGTCTTGAGGCAGCCATTGGGTACAATGGTTAAGATGACGTTTAGGATGTCTGTAACACATATGGAATGCCTGGTTGCCAGTCTTGGCTCTGCTTCCTATTTCAGCTTCCTGACAATGTGTACCCTTGAGAGTAGCATTTGATGGATCAAGTACTTGAGTCCCTACCACCCATGTGTGAGACCCAGATTGAGTTCCAAGTTCCCGGCTTCATCCTAGCCCAGTACCAGCCATTGCAGGATTTGAGAAGTGAACCAGTGGATGGAAGAATTCTCTCTCTCTCTCTCTGCTTTTCAAATAAATAAAAATAAATTATAAAATTTTAAAACAGGTATGCCTCAACCATCTTTGTTTGAGACATTCATGACAGCTTCCAAAACAAAAAGGCCCAAAGGAAAATGCCCTGGACACTCTCTGCATATGTATTTTTCACTAATTTTTTAAAATAAATCTCTCTTTTTTTAAAAAAGATTTATTTATTTGAAAGGCAGAGTTACAGAGAGGCAGAGGCAGAGAGAGAAAGAGAGAGAGAGAGAGAGAGAGAGCGAGAGCGAGCGCGAGTGAGTGCCGGCGCCTTGGCTCACTAGGCTAATCCTCTGCCTGCGGCGCCGGCACTCCGGGTTCTAGTCCCGGTCAGGGTGCCCGACTCTGTCCCGGTTGCCCCTCTTCCAGGACAGCCCTCTGCTATGGCCCGGGAGTGCAGTGGAGGATGGCCCAAGTCCTTGGGCCCTGCACCCACATGGGAGACCAGGAGAAGCACCTGGCTCCTGGCTTCAGATCAGCACGGTGTGCCGGCCACAGCGCGCCAGCCACGGCAGCCATTGGAGGGTGAACCAACGACAAAAGGAAGACCTTTCTCTCTCTCTCTCTCTCTCTCACTGTCCACTCTGCCTGTCAAAAAATTAAAAAAAATTTAAAAAGAGAGAGAGAGAAAGAAAGAAAAGAGAGAGGTCTTCCATCCACTAGTTCACTTCCCAAATGGTCGCAATGGCTGGAGCTGTGCAGATCTGAAGCCAGGAGCCAGGAGCTTCTTCCAGGTCTCCCACTTGGATGCAGGGGCCCAAGGACCTGGGCCATCTTCTATTGCTTTCCCAGGACATAGCAGAGAGCTGGATTGGAAGTGGAGCAGCCGGGACTCGAATTGGCGCTCATATAGGATGCTGGCACTGTAGGCAGTGGCTTTACCCATTATGCCACAGCACTGGCCCGTTTTCACTCATTTTTATCACATGAGAATCTAGGAACTAAGGTTCTAGGACCACTTGCCTAGGAGATCTAATGTGGCACTCCTAAGCTGATCTTCTATTTAGCTCTTTTCATTCAGGGACTTTATAATAGTCAAATTATTAGCACAATACCCATTAGAAACATCTAACATGGAGGCATTTAGCTTAGAAGATGCCAATTAGGATGCCGCTGACCCATATCAGCGTACCTGGGTTTAATACATGACTCTAGGCTTGACTTAAGCTTCCTGCTAATACATACCCTGGGAGACAAGGGTGATGGGCCCGTGTAGTGAGATTCCCGTCGCCCACATGGGAGACCTAGATTGAGCTCCCAGCTTCAGGCTTCCATCCAGCTTAGTCTCAATCATGGTGGCCATTTGGGGAGTGAACCAGCAGATGGGAGCGCGCTCTCTCTCTCCATCTCAAATAATTTTTTTTTGACAGGCAGAGTTAGACAGTGAGAGAGAGAGAGGCAGAGAAAAAGGTCTTCCTTCTGTTGGTTCACCCCCCAAATGGCCGCTACGGCCGGTGCGCTGTGCTGATCCGAAGCCAGGAGCCAGGTGCTTCCTCCCAGTCTCCCATGCGGGTGCAGGGCCCAAGCACTTGGGCCATCCTCCACTGTACTCCGGGGCCACAGCAGAGAGCTGGCCTGGAAGAGGGGCAACCGGGACAGAATCCAGCACCCCAACTGGGACTAGAACCCGGAGTTCCGGCACCGCAGGCGGAGGATTAGCCTAGTGAGCCGCAGCGCTGGCCAAATAATCTTTTTAAAAAAGAAATATCTGTTATTGAACTATCTTCCTAAAGTGCCTGGAAACTTACAACCGACCGATTTTTTTTTTTATTTTTGACAGGCAGAGTGGACAGTGAGAGAGAGAGACAGAGAGAGAAAGGTCTTCCTTTGCCGTTGGTTCACCCTCCAATGGCCGCCGCTGCAGCCGGCGCACCGCGCTGATCCGATGGCAGGAGCCAGGATCCAGGTGCTTTTCCTGGTCTCCCATGGGGTGCAGGGCCCAAGCACCTGGGCCATCCTCCACTGCACTCCCTGGCCACAGCAGAGAGCTGGCCTGGAAGAGGAGCAACCGGGACAGAATCTGGTGCCCCGACCGGGACTAGAACCCGGTGTGCCAGCGCCGCAAGGTGGAGGATTAGCCTAGTGAGCCACGGCGCCAGCCACGACCGACCGATTTTTAACAAGAAGGAAACTGATGATTCCTCATCAACACTGAGATGTAATTGCTTGCAGTTTCTGTCCGTGTTACAGTGGAGAAATTCTGGGAGAAATTAACTCTTGGGCCAAGTGACTCTGATTCATTAGATACACCAGGGACTCAAGGGTCATTGCTAGAGTTTCTTTGGAGTTAGAGTAGTTACACAGGAAAGGGCAAGAGGAAAGAAGAGACAGAAATAGGTTTGCAAAAATTAAGGCCAAGTTTTTCTCTTCTGTTTTCTTTTTTCCTGATAATATAAATAATATCGTTTAAAGAGGCAGAGTTAAGAAAGGAAATACATATCTATAGGTTTGGGGTGAGAAGGACGTGAAGTTGTGTGTATGTAAGAAAGTAAGCTTTGAAGCTTTCTAAGGAAAAACTGACTACATTTGGCCAGAAGATGATTACAAGATGATAGAAGAAAAAAGACTATACCACGCATTTGATTTAAAAATAACCAGGAAAGTGATGCGGCTTCATTGCCATGGGGGACCATTTGGTAAAGTAGAAGGATACTTCTATGAGGGCAGTTTAAGGACAAACTTCCAGAACTCATAAGGTACTTTCTGGTAAAATCATCCCTAATTTCTCTGCTGAAATAATATACTCCCCTAAATCCCACTCTCTTTCCTTCTTAAGTGTTTCCAATAAATTATTGTAGACATGAAAGTCACCTTTGAGACATACTGGAAACATGATTTTTTTTTCTGTAACATCATGAGGTGTTTTCCCCCCACAAAATGTTTTATTGTCTCTTTCTTGCAAATATAATTTGTAATTATTGCTTATTCATTTAGGTCATAGCTATCTACTGAAGAGTCTCAGTCAACCAGCCTGGAAACACTTTTTTAATAGTAGAGGTGGAATAGAAAGGAAACTATATTTTTAAAAATTGATAAATTGTGCTAACTTTTAAAAGTTTCAGTTAGGTGATCTAAAATTTTAAGTGAATTTTTCATACTATATCATAATAATTCAACAATGCAAGCTTTGTTCTCTCACAAGAGAAATGTAATTTTAAATGCATTATGATAATTCCATAATGCAAATTCTGATTATCTCAAAGAACAATTGGAGGGAAAGACTGGCTAAAATGTGGCAAGAAGTAGATTTATGGAAATGTTCAGTGTGGGGTGTAAGTAGATGCATAGTAAGTACAGATATGAGAAAAATAAATGGTTCCTTCTGGAGAATTGGAACTTACAAAGATGTTGCTCTGTCATGGCTTTACATACCTGGCTGAGTCTCCATGGTTTCACTGCTTGGTAACGAAGGCTTCTTTTGGACTTGCAACATTAAGTATTCATTATAGAGAAGAGGTCCGTGATCTTGAAGGACTCCCCTGCCCGCCCCGCCTTCCCACACATGATTGGAAAAGAATCCAGAGTTTGGGCACACTAATAGCTATTTTCTAAGAATTTCATGATTTGCATTCATAAGCGAGTATCTGTCTAATTCATTGGTCTGAAAATTGTATCACATCTGCAGGATGTATCGTTTGGCTTCCTTCTTGGTCCTGGGGGACTTTAACACAGCCCACATATCTACCAGCAGCTGACTTCCTGCTAAGTGTTTACTTATAAATTAGTATGGGTGATCATTTATTAAGGTAATAAGCAAAGATTACATTTAATAGCTTAGATGTTATGCATTATGAACATAGTATTTTATGTTTAATTGAGGCAAATGTATATGGTAATTAATATGATACCCAAATGTAACTCAGAAATTATAAATTAGAGAGCTTAAATCAAGTCATGTATAACAGCACCTCAGCACTTAAATTCCAGGAATGTTTCACAATGGCAAAGCACTATCCTCCAGTTCATCCACGCCATGTGTCAGGGATTTGTTTACATCTTAGATTTTTGTCTCCTTTCCCCATAAACTGGTCCATTCCATAACTGAAGAGCATTGTCTTTCTCTTGATAAGCATCACAGCATCAAAACTTTGGCTTCTGGAGCTTAGGTGAGTAATTTGTTAGCAGCGACACCATGACAGCCTGGGAAGACACAAGAAAAAAAAAATGGATAAACATTAGTAGCAGTCTGCTTTGGGACCTAAAGAAGGGGAACTAGATTTCAGCTTTACACTTCTAGAATTAAAATGTTTTCCCAAGGAAATAAGTGAACACTTAGACGTCATATTTAGTTTCGGGGGATCCAAAAAGGTCAAGATGCTGACTCAAACATGACAGAGTTTATGGAAAATGACGTTAAAATATATGCTTATTTTGGTGCAAAAATTTGATATTCATGCAATTTTTTAAAAAATAATACACATTTCCACAAACTTTTGCACGACCTCTATATGCATAGACTTCAAAATGTTTTGCACCATAGTAAACTCTTAATTCCATTTTCTTTTATTTCAAAAGGTTTATTTATTTATTTGAAAGGCAGAATTACAGAGAGGCAGAGGCAGAGAGAGAAAGGCCTTCCATCTGCTGGTTCACTCCCCAAATGACTGCAATGGCCAGAGCTGCGCTGATCTGAAGCCAGGAGTCTGCAGCTTCTTCCGTGTTTCCCAGCAGATGCAGGGGCCTGCGGACTTGGGCCATCCTCTACTGTTTTCCCAGGCCACAGCAGAGAGGTGAATTCCATTTTACGTGAACTTGTTGAAGTTCCTTCATATATGCAAAACCAACATGCTTACCTAAGTCTCATTCCAAGACTAATGGGTCAGAGAGTTGAAATGAAATGCCATGGTGGTAGCCATGGCTGGATTGTCAAGTTATCAGTGAAACTTAGGTATTTCTATTGGAGAGAAAGGCAATCCCTCCTATCCCAGTTCCTCAAGTTTATATAAGTTTTGGTCACTTGCAACCTAGAGAATCTTAAGACATATCAAATGAATAATAAAAGAAAATCATCTGGTTAATAAATATTGTCTGTTTCCAGACTGAGTTCTCTTGGAAGGGCATTAACTTAATAGACAAGATCATAGCTTTTCCTTGGGCTGTAGCCACAAATGGTAATTTTAACTTTCACCACTGTCCACAATAGACAATAGTGATAATATCAGATACAATAATGGTGGATGTTTATTGAATGCTTACTAGACACCAGGTAGTTTGCTAAGTGCCTTATCATGTGTCAATGAATCAAGAATAGTTTCTAGTGACTATGTAACAGGTGCTTTGGTGAGTTAGAGAGGAATGTTCATGCATTTCATCATGTAATTCAATGACCATCTAAGGTGGCTTCTGTCATTATTTATAGATGAGAAAAGTCAGTCTTCGAAACGGGTTTCCTGTGTGGGTACAGGGTTCCAAGCACTTGGGCCATCCTCCGATGCTTTCCCAGGTGCAGTAGCAGGGAGCTGGATTGGAAGCAGAGCAGCTGGGATTTGAATTGGTGCCCATATGGGATGCCGGTGCCATGAGTGGAGGCTTAACCTACTAAGCTGCAGTGCCAGCCCCATGTGACTCCACTCTTAAAAGGTAGCTTTACTGCCCCTCAGGTACTCACACTAACACTTCAACCATACTGTACATGATTTCAGAGGTGTTCAATGACTGTATTGAACAGTTACTCTGTGCCAGGTCCAATGCTAAGTGCTTTATGTGCAGCACCCGTGTAATATCCTTTCTTACCGTATGAGGTGGCAAGAGATGTCAACCACTCATAAAGATGAACAAACTAAGACATTTTAAGCTTATTTTCAAACAAGAAACCTAGAAAGTCAAGTCACTTTGAGTAGGGTTTCCAGATTTAGTTAAATAAATACAGACATACAGATGGGCAGTTAAGTAGGAATTTCACAAACAAAAATTTTTTTCTTTTTACTGTAAATATGTTCGAAAGATTGATTTCATGGAACACATGTGTACTGAAAAATAGTTGCTGTTTTTCTAAAACTTGTTGTTTATCTGGGTATTCAGCATTTTATTTTGCACCCCTAACCTGGGAAGAAGTAAAAGACCAACATACCAAGAAGTACATTTGCAATGGGGCTATGCGACTGCGTCATGTGGATAGCAGTGCTCTGAAATGTCTAGGTTAGTTTAGCTCCATAGTCCAATCTGTGGGCAGAGGAAGAAACCTACCTGGCTTTTGTGAGTTTCACAGTCTTACTAACCAGTGAAAAATACAAAGTAAGCTTTGTGGGGAAAAAGGGTTGTTTTTGTTTTTATTTTTAAACAAAGGTATCCAAAGGCCTGTGCACTGTGGAGAGAACCTGTGATTCCTTAAGTGTTTTGAATTGCACTGCTGGAAATCACCCAGCATGGAGGGCTCAAAAGCTACTGAGTGTCCATTCTCTCTCTCTCTCTTTTTCTTTAAAATTGTTACATGCTTTAGAACAAGCTCTTCATCCTCTTTGAGTTATATACCTTACATCAGTTATAACGGGCATCTTAGGATAGGAGACAGATTGTGTCTTTGTTTCCTTCATTCATCCTAACTTTTAATGAAGTGGTGTGTGTGTGTGTGTGTGTGTGTGTGTGTGTGTAAATCATTCTCTAGTGTAGTGCTGTCCAATGGGACTTTCTGTGATGATGGAAACCTGCATCTGTGTTGTTCAATACAAATAGTGAAGCCACATGTGGCTACTGAGCACTTAAAATGTGGCTACTATGACTGAGAAATTGAATCTTCAATCTTACTCAATTTTAATTAGATTGGGGCCAGAGCTGCAGCGTAGTGGGTAAAACTGCCGCCTGCAATGCCGGCATCCCATATGGGTACCGGTTCAAGTCTTGGCTGCTCCACTTCTGATCCAGCTCCCAGCTAATGTGCCTGGGAAAGCAGCGGAGGATGGCCCAAGTTCTTGGACCCCTACACCCGAGTGGGAGACCTGGATGAAGCTCCTGGATCCTGACTTTGGACAGGCCCAGCTCTGACCATTGTGGCCACTTAGGGAGTGAACCAGCAGATGGGAGACTCTCTCTCTCTCTCTCCTCTCTGTTACTCTGCCTTTCAAATAAATAAATAAATATGTATTTTAAAAGTTTTTAATTAGATTAAATTTAAATAGCCACATGTGCCTAGTGGCTACTGTACTGGCTAGGGCAACTCTAGAGGAAAACAAATATTGTGCCTTTTCAGTACATCTTAGAAAAATGTATTACAGCAGTGCTGGGACAAAAGGCCATTTTAAATAAGCTGTCTAAGAATAATTTTCTTGCCAATAAAATAAGAATTTAGCCTTCATAATCTCTAAGGTCTCATCCTACTTGAAAATGTTATGCTTCTGTGAATTTCACAGGTTGTATGGGGACTGAACATTATTCTCCTACGTTAAATCTCTAGTACCTGTCAGAGGACATGGCATGGAGTAGATGAACTGAAATGAACCCAAAGAAGCCTCTAAATCATGTAGCTAAGGGATGTAAAGAATGCAGCATGTGGCTCACCATCCTCTTGCCAGTACCATGCCAGGCACACTGATTCATCAGTTAGGCCCCTCTTTCTGTCCCCTACCATAGGCAGGTTCAGGATCCTTCTCAATAGAGGGCTCTGAGTAGCTTATTGATAAGATTGGGAACATTTGCCATCTCTATGAAGCATTATGGATCAATTGGTATGTTTTGTAGGTGACGAAAGATGAAACAGATAACTGGTTTTGAAGGAAGCTATAGAAATCAGGTCTCCTCACTCTCATTTGTGCATTCTTTCTACTTTAGACTCTCCACATTCATTTGGACATCGTTCAGCCTCTTGGCTTCTCTGTGGTACATTTCCCCCTAATAAAAGTGGATAACTCAGGAGGGTAGGGAAAGGAGACAGTGGTAATATCTAGATAAAAGGAAAATGAGTGGACATAACTATATATATTCATATAGTCTTATAAGCATTCCAACCAAGTGAAATATGCTTTATTTATTTATTTTTTTGACAGGCAGAGTGGACAGTGAGAGAGAGAGACAGAGAGAAAGGTCTTCCTTTGTCCGTTGGTTCACCCTCCAATGGCTGCCGCGGCTGGCGCGCTGTGGCCGGCTCACCGCGCTGATCCGATGGCAGGAGCCAGGTACTTCTCCTGGTCTCCCATGGGGTGCAGGGCCCAAGCACTTGGGCCATCCTCCACTGCACTCCCCGGCCACAGCAGAGAGCTGGCCTGGAAGAGGGGCAACCGGGACAGAATCCGGGGTACTGGTGCCGCAGGTGGAGGATTAGCCTAGTGAGCCATGGCACCGGCCTACTGTACTCCATTTTCGAAGAGATTATGGGAGCTGCTTCATGTCTTTTAATATAGTCCTTTGCGTCATAGTGGATTCTGTTGTTTGCAAATAAGACTGATTGGTAGAGCAACTGACACCGATTAAATCACTAAAAGCCGAAGGCTTATGAAGCTAAGTTATGGTATGTGAAGACTCAGTTTTCCAGAGAAGAAGGTGACTTTTGGGATGTTGTAAAGCAGACACTAAGGTTAATATTTCTTAGAAACTAGTGACTTTATCTGAAAGTGACTGATAATGTTGGAGATACGTTTTGTCAGAATTTTGGAAATGTATAATGCGTAAAACCAAACGTGTCTCCATGGCCAAATTTAGAGAATTAAAATAATTTTAGATGCTCCTTGACTTGTGATGGGGTTATAGCTCAGTAAAACAATCATAAGTTGAAAATATTGAAAGTGAACAATGCATTGAATGCACCTACCTACTGCACATCTTAACTTAGCGACACTTAGTACACTACAGTAGAGTCTCAGTGGTTTCCCATTGTAACCATGGGGCTGGCAGCGAGCTGCATTCATTGCCACTGCCTAGCACTGCAACAGCATTGGACCCCATAGTGCTGGCCTAGGAAAGATCCAAATTAAGCATTCAAAGTATGGCTTCTACTGAATGCACATCACTTTCAAGCCATCATAAAGTTGAAAAATCATAAGTCAGACTATCCACCACAAGTTGAGGACCATCTATATCTGTTCAACTCATGAAGAAAAGACTGGAAGGAAGAAAATGGGGAGGAAGGATATGAGATTTTTTGAGTGCTTGTTTTGTACGAGGCACTGAATTAGGGGCTTGTAGAGACATGAACAAGGGGATTCTATTTTTTTTTTTTTACTTTTTTTTTTTTTGACAGGCAGAGTGGACAGTGAGAGAGACAGAAAGGTCTTCCTTTGCCGTTGGTTCACCCTCCAATGGCTGCCGTGGCTAGTGCGCCGCGGCAGGCGCACCGCGCTGATCCAAAGCCGGGAGCCAGGTACTTCTCCTGGTCTCCCATGGGGTGCAGGGCCCAAGCACTTGGGCCATCCTCCACTGCACTCCCTGGCCACAGCAGAGAGCTGGCCTGGAAGAGGGGCAACCGGGACAGAATCCGGCGCCCCGACTGGGACTAGAACCCGGTGTGCCGGCGCTGCAAGGTGGAGGATTAGCCTAGTGAGCCTCGGTGCCAGCCTTGAACAAGGGGATTCTAAAATAAGAATTACATAGCTTATAATGGTTGGTAGACAATGGTAGTCGGTGCTCAGGTTGAAGGAGGGCAGTAAGAATTTTGATTAAAATAAGTTTATTGGGAAAGGAATCAGGTTTATTACATGAAAAATATTATAAATTCTAATCAGTGATAATGATCTATTAGTAAGTTTCAGGATAAAATACATACCATATGAGCAAATAATGTCATTGGCTAATCTCAGCTGCTTAGGATTTACTAAAAGGCAGGAACAACCAAGCTGGACTACACAGAGAACTCCCTTTTATCCTCCATGCCTTGTTTCTTGCTTACCATGATTGTCCACTTTCTGTTTTCTGCCTCTGGGAATACTAGTGATCGTGGAGAATAGAACACTTCATCGTCCACTTCTTCTGGCTTTCTGGGCAAGCAGTGTAGAAACGTCCAGTCAGAGGCAGCAACTTCAGCAGTCTAAAGAGATGGTGATAAGATCATTATATGTAGCAATCACATTTGTCTGCTTTGGTATTTAAAAACACATATGTTCAGGGATCAGAGATCAATGCAAAGTAAGACAAAGGTCAGAGTGAAGGTTTTGGCTTCAGGCATGAGGGGGAAATGCATATGGTGCTTTCAACTTATGCAATTTTATATTCTTTTTTTTATTTGGGAGAATATCACTTCAAGTTAAATCACTAACTCAGTTTTTCAATATTTTGTCTAATTGGATAGTGGACATTTCAGCAAAGAACTCTATGAGTATAATATATGGCTGATAACAGAATCACCAATTACTCTCCAAAATATGAAAAAAGTTGCTTTGCTGTGGCAGTATTATATATTAGCTTATCGCCAAACTATAATTTTTAGCATTTGAAGCATATTTTGTCACTAATTAAAACAACTTTGAAGAAAGCATTGAGGTATGAATGTATTACTTAAGAGTATGGACACTATGCACTAGATACTTCCTTCTTAATGCCTGTTAGTGGTCTTTAAAAAGCTCATGGGATATGTATATAATAAAAATTATGCATGGATTTCTTTGTTTATTTTTATTTGAAAGGCAGAGAGAAAGAGAGAGGGAGAGAGAGAAACAGATGCACAGAGATGGGTCTCTCATCTGCTGCTTCACTCCCTAAATGCCCCCCACAGCTGGAGCTGTGCCAAGCCAAAGCCAGGGACTCAACCCAGATCTCCCACTTGGGTAACAGAGGCCAAAGTACTTGATCCATCACTTGGTTTCTCCCAGTATGTGCGTTAACAGGAAGCTGGAATCAGGAGCAGGACTGGAAATCCAACACAGGCACTCTGATATGGGATGTTGGCATCCCAAGTGGCATCTTAACTGTTACACCAAATGCCAGGCCCTATGCATGAATCAAAAAATTTTTGCATCAAAATAAATTGAACTTTCAATTCATTTTCCATGAAGGTTTTAAAAGTATCCTTATATATGTAAATGCATAGGAAATGTCTGCAAAGGGACATATCAAATTGTTAAGCAATGGCTATCTCTGCAAATAGTCAATGTTAAGTGGATGGGACAACAGATTGTTCACTTTGTATTTTGAACACTTTCATTTTATTTGACATGTGATAATGAGGGACTCATGTATTAGTTTATTGATAAAATGTTTATTGCACTTGCTTATTCCATTTATTTATTAAACAATATTAGTTGCTCTGTTGACAAAACTCCAGTGTGCACCTGTCATTATAGGGTAGTCCTCCAGAACAGGGGTTCTCAAAATGTGATCCTGGAGCAGCAGCATCACACCATCTGGGAACTTGGAAGAAACGCACATTCCCGAGTCTCACCTGTGACTTACAAAATCAGAAACCTGGGGAAGTTAATATACAGACAGCTGTACATTAACAACTCCTCTCAGTGATGCTAACCCATCTTCAAGACTGGGAAGCACTGCTCCTGATTTTACTGGAAAGCATCAGATTGAGTGAGAGTCCCCTGGGAATGCCCTAGAGGGAGTTAACACAAACTAAACTGGATTTAGGGGGCCTTAGAAGATAAAGGAGAGGAGTAGTCAAAGAAGCATAGTTATGGGGCTTTGCTTAGGGGAAAAAAATCACAAGAAGTTGCATGTAGCAGAAACAATTTCAAGTCTCTAAACACGTAAAGAGCAAAGCATTCCAATGCCTGTATTACTCTGGGAGGAAAGCCTGCTTCTCTCTTCTGCCTGAGTTTCAAATGACTTCATCCAGCACAAAAGTGTCTTTCCAAAGAGAAATCCCTGGGGAATACAGTTAGCGAGTCCTTTATAGGATATGCAAGGACAGTCTCTGTCCCCAGAGTGAGGAGGTGATGAGATGGTTCTGGCCTTTATGAATGGAATTAATGAACCTTCAGAGAGGCATTAATTTGTACCTTCATTGTAACCTGGTAACCTTGGAAAGCCTGGAGTCGCTTTTTTTTCTCTTCTTCTTGTCCCATGCTTATCCAAGTGTCTGTAATTAATACATTGCCTCCACGCGCTGCTTCCAATGGTTCATTCGTCAGCGACAGCTTGGTACCATTCTAGCATACATAAGCATGCCGGTTAAACAATTTCAGGGAACAGAGAAAGTCAATTATGGCTTCACAAATAAGGAACATACCTCCTTGGCATACTGCTCTGCCAATTTGGTTACACTAGGATCCGGCTCATAACCCTGCAGGAGTAAGAATTTAACTGTTATTTAGGTAATTTCTTTACATATGTTTGCTTATACATGCACTATTTTCTTTTCAAAAATTTCCCCACTCTCCCTTTAAAAAAAGATTTATTTATTTATTTAAAAGAGTTACACAGAGAGAGGGAGAGACAGAGGGAGATCTTCCATCTGCCGGTTCACTCCTGAGATGGCCACAATGGCCAGAGCTGAGTCAGGTGGAAACTAGAAGCCATGAGCTTCATCCAGTTCTCCCACGTGGGTGGCAGGGCCCCAAAAACACTTGGGTCATCCTCTGCTGCCTTTCCCGGGCCATTAGTAGGGAGCTGGACTTGAACCGGTGGCCGTGGGGGATACTGGTGTCGCAGGGGATGGCTTTACCCACTATGCCGCAATGCTGGCCCCTCCCCTTCCCTTTTTAAAGATGTAGCCCAACCATATTCATTATTATGCGATTTTTACATCTAGAATTTCAAACATGAAGTGCCTTTTTGAATTTAAAGGGCAACCCATTTCCCCATCTTTCTTTTATTGTCTTTCGCTTCTTTAGTTATAAAGACAAATATGGAGTATAGTACTTTCTAAGCTTTTGGCAGCACCTCTTCTCATTTCCCTAATAGCTTAAGGGGATTATATTTACAACTGTACAGCCTAAAGCATTTTTGTCTGAGTCTTTCCATGCACTGTTCCTTTTGTTCCTTTGCCCACCCACTCCATGTAAATAACCTTTTCAGGTGTCAGTTCAAATGGCCCCTCCTCAGAAGATCCTTCCCTAGTCACCCCAGTTAAATACTTACAAGTCTCCCCAACACACATCTTATCCTGTATTTTCCAGCAAATGTCCTGAGTGCAGGGCATTTGCTTTGCAATGACATTTACCCAAGTATATTGTTTTTGCTAATTTGATGGATTTGTTCGGGACGGTTTGGTGAGGGTAGGGTCAGACTCCAGTGAGCTGAGTAAGGTATTGAGGGCACAAAACTTAAGGAGATGTTACAAATTTTTTAAAAAGCAACCCGTTCTTAGGGTTGTGCAAGCATGTTTTGTGCCCTGGGTGCCTGGCTTGCTCACCCTAGTCCCAACTCTGGATAAGGGGACATTCTGAGGGCTACTAAAGCCCCCAGGTTATTCCAGGCCTCCCTGGGGGAACCTGCATGCCTCTCCTCACCCTTCAGTCTGTTCTGTGCACGGCAGTGAAAACTGTTTTCGCTGAAGCTTTCCATGTTTACTCCTTGTTTCTTATGTCAAAGCTGATTAAGAGCAGCAAGTCTCCCCGCCCACATCCCCTGCTACTGTCCCTTTTAATTCTTCTCAACATCCTGCTGCAGGAAGCCAGTCTTCTCGTCATCCCTGTACACGCTGTGCCCTTTCCTGCTGCCACAGCCTTTCACCCTTGAGCACATCCCTCCTTCTCCCCTCCTGGGCGTCTGCATCAGGACACGACAACTCCTCAAAACCGTAACCCAGACTCACCTTCAGGCCCTCCATACGGAAGTCTTGTCAGTTCCAACACCATAATTATCCTCAACTTTCTCCAGCCTTCTCATTTTCCTGAATGCTTAGCATTTATGATATTGATTTTTACCAATTTTCCGTGGGGCACTGTGGTGATATGCCCACCCCCCAACCCCCAGATTCCCCGTTATGAATAACCATAAGAAAGGTCGATTCCTCCAGCTGCTGGGAGATGCCAGAAGCTGGCCTCAGCTGCAGACAGTCGCCTCAGTCAAGGTCACACAACCTTCCAGGGTGACCCACGTTTAATCAGTGATTGACAGGAGGTTATGAAAACCTGATGCCCTCTGCCCAACTCTGGACAGCTCTGAATGGCCATCTCTCCATAAGGTTGGCCAAGACTGTTGTAGGGCCTGCACCACAGCTGTGCTTTTCTCTCTGTCTATTCCTGCTTCCTCCTCTCCATAGTTGTTGATTTCAAGGTCATGTGCACATCTTGTGTGCTAAACTCTGAATCTGTTTTCTGGGAAGCCCAATCTGTGACAAGCATGTCCAGGTTTTTCCATTTGAAGTTGTGTTTATTTACACGTGACTGTCTATTACAGTTTTTTCTCTCATTACAAAATTCTTGAGAAAACAAACTACTCAGATGTTGATGGTGATAGCTGCAGACATTTTAGAAGCTAAGTTACTCTCAAATTGCTGTGAATTCTGGAGTCTTGTTTTTAGGGATTTGGGGAAAGTAATTAACAAAGGCTTGCTAATTTAGTAACTAATGTTGTGAATAGTTATACTGGTAAGCACAAGTGAAGAGGCTTGGATATTATCCCAGGTGCCTCCTGCCCTGAAAATTTAGCTGTCTCTTTGGAGAGCAGGTTTTACTCCCTAAGTATAATGATTCTCAGAGAAGGAATCAATAAGTACTTAGAGAACCAACAGAGAGGCTTGGAAATTAGAAAATCACCCAACCTTGCATGCACTGAGCCATGACTTAGAATACAGAGAGGAATTCTTTACTCACATCTCAGCTTTCAACACTAAATCACTCATTGGGCTTTCCATAAATCTTCAAACCAGATGAAGAGATGATTAACAAACCTGCTGCAGTCTAAATATTCACTTATAACAATGTTAAAATCATTACCATTGATAGTTTATGGAACAATTTTACAATCATGGACAAATTTATTTTTTTCTTGAATGTGTAAGTTATTCTTGGTTGAAGAATGGGAAAATAGATTAATTATGGCCCTGGAGACTTTTCAGTATTTCTTAACTTTACTATATCTCCAGCTTTCTCTTTAAAGGTCTACTAACAACTGAAGACTTACAGATTGCTAGAAGGATTTTTGTACTATCGAGACTTGCCAGAAAATTTTCTAAAACTCTTATTCCCACCAAGATTTAACTGGTCGTTAGTATCCTTTATTGTTTAAATGAGTTTCTGCATAAGAACAATACCAAAATTACTCTGTAATATTGGACTTTTTTCCTTTGACGTTAATAAAACATCTTTGACATACAATAAAATGTTCAAGCCATACATTTCTTCAGCAGAATAAAGGCTTTCCAATAGCACCTCATACCAAGGAAAGTCATTCTTAATGTATGTACCTGTGAAAACCAAATGCAATAATAGTTTGCATTAATACAGAGCCTTTCTTAAAACTAGATTTGTAGCAACAGTATGCTCACCCTTTCCATAATTGAAGAAGAGCCACCGTAAATACATATCCTATCTGACCCCTTAATTCAGTTCATGTCGAATACAAGAGGATTATCTGCTGAAAGGGTCATCTCTCTGAATTCTTCAAGTTTATTATAATAGGATGGCTTCCAGGATATCCTGTTGCATATACTTGCTATTTCTTCTAATGCAAGTGCACTTAGTAGAACAGTGTCCTTCAAAAATTCACACCCACCCAGAATCTCATAATATGACCTTTGGATATAGAGTCTTTGCAGATGCATTTTGTTAAAAGGGATTCATACAGGTTTAGGGTGGTCCTTAATTTAATGTGAATCATGTTCTTATAAGAAGAGGGACATTAGTACAGAGATGCGTTGTCATCGAAGGAATATGATGAAGGTAGAGATTGAATTGATGCAGCCACAAGCCAAAGAATGCCTGGTACTACCAGAAGTGGGAAGAGAAAGTCAGGATTCTCCCCTAGAGCCTTCAGATGGAGCATAGCCATGAATGCATCCTGATTTCAGACTTCTTTTTTTTTTTTTTTTTTTTGACAGGCAGAGTGGACAGTGAGAGAGAGAGACAGAGAGAAAGGTCTTCCTTTGCCGTTGGTTTACCCTCCAATGGCTGCCGCGGCCGGCGCTCTGCGGCTGGCGCACCGCGCTGATCCGATGGCAGGAGCCAGGAGCCAGGTGCTTTTCCTGGTCTCCCATGGGGTGCAGGGCCCAAGCACCTGGGCCATCCTCCACTGCACTCCCTGGCCACAGCAGAGGGCTGGCCTGGAAGAGGGGCAACCGGGACAGAATCTGGCGCCCCGACCGGGACTAGAACCCGGTGTGCCGGCGCCGCTAGGCGGAGGATTAGCCTAGTGAGCCGCGGCGCCGGCCGCTGATTTCAGACTTCTAGTCTCTAGAACTGTGAGAGAATAATAAATTTCTGTGGTTTAAAGCAACCCAATTTCCAGTAATTTGTTATGGTGGCTGGCTGTGGTTTAAATAAGGTATGGGGGCCGGTGCTGTGGCGCAGCGGGTTAATGCCCTGGCTTGAAGCACCAGCATCCCACATGGGCGCCGGTTCAAGTCCCGGCTGCTCTACTTCCGATCCAGCTCTCTGCTATGGCCTGGGAAAGCAATAGAAGATGGCCCCTACACCTGTGTGGGAGACCCGGAAGAAGCTCCTGGCTCCTGGCTTCGGATCGGTGTAGCTCTGGCCATTGCAGTCAACTGGGGAGTGAACCAGTGGATGGAAGACCTCTCTCTCTCTCTCTCTCTCTCTTTGCCTCTCCTTTTCTCTGTGTAACTCTGATTTTCAAATAAAAAGATAAATAAATCTTTAAAACAAACAAATACATAAATAAGGTATGGCTCCTGAACTCATGCAGATGGTTAAATCCCAAAGTCATAAATTTATAGTACTAAGAGGGTGGAAACTTAATTCAATTATAGTTTGTAGGGCCTAGCAGGAGGTTGTTAGGTCACTGGGGACATGTCTTCTGAAGTTGTTCTCACCAGAGGGTGGGTTAGAAAGACTGAGTTGGGCTCAGTCGGTGTCTCTGCTTCCTAGCTTGCCATGTGATCCTTCTTGTGCACACACTTGGCCACGGCCATCAGACAGCTGAACTAATGTCTGATCCGATCTGGAATTATGAACCGCCAACACTGTGAGCCAAAATAAATCTCTTTCTCACCTAAGTAGCTTGTCCTATATATTTCATTACAGTAGTGAAAAGCTAATACACAGCCCTAGGAAACTAAGATGGCAGGATGCGTTGTTACAAATTGGTTCAGCCAAAACACCAGAGATGAGCATTTGATGGTATTTTATTTTGTTTTGGCAGGAGGCAACAGACTGGTACTGGTGCTCTAGCCAGATGCCCTTTGAAGATGCCCTTTTATTGTCTGGCTCCATCTCCTGTTTCAATGTGTTTTTAACCTTTAGCACTTGCAGTTCTTCTCCTGTAACTTCTGGCTACCACATTGCTTTTCCTGCCAAAAGTTCCAGGATATTTACCACTCTACCTCTGCTGCCCTTGACCAAAGACCGGTTCAAAAGGACAAACGCCCATTTTCCTCACACTAGATTGGGACAATTCTAGACAATACTCCAGAGCTCACCTGTAGGATCAGGCTGAAGCTACTTTCTGTGGAACTGGGCCTGATATGGTACTAGGGTGATCAAATCACCCAGCTATGCCCAAGATTCTTCCAATTTTAGAACTTCTCCGTGCTGCGCAAGCCAGGATGTTTGGTCACTATAAATGGTCCCCTCGCTCAGATTCTTCCTTTTCTCTGTCCTGCTCCCCATAGTCCCTTATAGGTCTCCCTTGGGAGGATTTCCTTACTAAATCACCTTTATTACATAAAACAACCATACATACAAAGCCCCACAGTACATACAAACCCACTGGGGGTTCTGCTTGTGAGGCATTTGGCCTAAGACATTTGGTGAAGGCATTTGGTGATGGCAGGTGTAGAAAACACACAAGAAATTCAAGGATTTGGATATTCCCCCTTGGAGAAGTTAAGCTATTAATCAACAGGATGTAATTCATGTCCCCAGTGGTTGGCAAATAACCATCTCAAACTTGAGAAGCAGAAGCAGGAAGGAATTTTGAAGACTCATATGTTCACCTGTGGTGAACTGTTCTTAATAAGAGGGCCAGTTCTATCTTCTACCACAAATCAAGATTTCATCCCAAAACATTTTATATTTAGGGAGAATTTTCCCTTCAAAAGACTCCTGGGAGGATGTTAGTAACCAATGAAAAACATAATGGAGAAAATAATCCAGTATAGAGTAGATATTTAAAAGTTTCTGGGTGTGTCCTTTGGGACTGGTTTGAGTCTCTTGTAGGGTGAATTTTTATCCTTTAGAGGTAAAAATGCATGGGAGTTGGAGTTGCTTAACATAATACTTCTCTTAGGGGGATTTGAACATTTTATATTAGTGTACTTATTTACCTATTTATATTATTATGTAAGTAAAATATCTACATGTTAAGAAATTCAAACTCTCGCCGGCACTGTGGCTCACTTGGTTAATGCTCCGCCTGCAGCACCGGCATCCCATATGGGCGCTGGGTTCTAGTTCCGGTTGCTCCTCTTCCAGTCCAGCTCCCTGCTGTGGCCAGGGAGTGCAGTGGAGGATGGCGCAAGTGCTTGGGCCCTGCACCCGCATGGGAGACCAGGAGGAAGCACCTGGCTCCTGGCTTCGGATCAGCATAGCTCTGGCCGTAGCGGCCATTTGGGGAGTGAACCAATGGAAGGAAGACCTTTCTCTCTGTCTCTCTCTCTTATTGTCTAACTCTATCTGTCAAATAAAAAAAAAAGAATTCAAACCCTGTAAAAGAATATATGATAGTGACAATAAAGTCTCCCTCCTATCTCTGTTCCAGTTCCCCTCTTCAGGAGCAAAAACTATTACCAGCTTCTTGTGTATCAAAAGGGTTACATAGGGCTATGGAAGAAGGTCATGGGTCTCATACATTCCATGAAATATTTAGCAGCAAGGAAGTATGCAGGAGTTATCCTCATAGCCATGTGGGACTCAGATTTTAAAAACCAAAATATCCCTGCAGTTGATTTTGAAACAGTAAGCTAGTGTAGATGCCATCCCTGTGACCTTTACATTGGACTGGCGATTTTCTATCGAATTCCAGTATTAAAAACACGACAGAAATGTTCCCATGCATTGGGAATTCTCTGCTGCCTGGATTCATTGCTTTCTTCAGCCTTTGTGGCGATTCTGCACAAGGATGCCAGTCATCACAATGGCTGGTAGCAGGACATTCAAAGGCATGATTCAGACACACTTTTAGCACAGACTCACACAATAAAAGGCATCGGCCAAGATTACCTACTACTGTGGAGATGGGAAATTGGGCTCGCGAGGGGCCAGGCAGCTATTTAATAGGAGAGCTGATAACAGAACATAAATTTTGCAGTCTCACCTGTGCTCTCCTTGAATGGAAGAGAACCCTGTTTTCAGTGGGTAATTGCATTGGGGTATGATTTAAGAGGGGGTTAGTGTCGAGGCAGGACGCTTTCCTACCTTTGGAGTAGCTGCCTGAAGGTGCATTCCGAATTTCGCTGCACTCATCATGATGGAGTGCAGGATGTTGTTCCCATCCCCGATCCAGCTGAGGGTAAGACCTTTCAGAGAGCCATAGTGTTCCTAGAAGGTAAAGAATGAAGGAGATTAAATTTAAAGAAATTCCACTTGTATGCAACAGTTGCTGGGGGTTAAATAAAAGAAACAATTTTCACTTCAAATGTTTAGTACCTTGCTGTAATGAATAAATTACCATTTTTGCATTGTACAGGGCAATTGAATGACATGAATGTACAATCTCAAAATAATAGCACAGTCCTAATCGCTTCAATCATCATATGAACTTCACAGACACTCAGATTTTCATGCATTTCAAATCTTAGCCTTAGTTGTATTCATTCATTCAACAAATTGATCACTACCAATGCCCAGACAAAGGAGTCAAACATCACTGTTTTTATGTTGTTTACATTCTTTGGTATAAGGAAGAGGAAATGCAGTGTACCTGGAACTGTGTAACATGGCAGCTCAGAGCTCTTTCCATTTATATAAAGGTGAAATACATACCAAATAGTGTATTACAAGTAATGTAATGAAAGTAATATTTATGGCTGTACATATGTGTAAATAAATTGTAAACACGTGCCAACGAATTGTAAATACAAACATTAGGATAATAATTTCTTTGTGGAGTGGGAGGAAATCAGATCAGGCAGAGTTACATAATGAGCTTCAGCTCTGTCTATAATATTTTACTTACAAACAACAAATAATTCTAGAGTAATTACTCCATCACATTAATATTTGACAAAACTGTGTAATGAGTACATGGACATTTGTTTTATTTTCCTTAGCATTTGTTTTCTTTTTCCCTAAAGTATGTGTAGGTTTAATATGTTTATATATTTATAAAGATAAGATGAAAAGGAGGAAGGCTAAGAAAGTTGGACATCACATAACTACTACATAGCTAAATTAAAATATAAATCCATGTCCATCTGATTTGGATCTCATGGTCCTACTAAGCTGCTATTTATTCCTGGAAGTCCTACTTTGAGTATCACCCATATAAAGGTGTTGTACTAGGTCTGGAAGAGGACACTATGAGGAATAGGCAAGCTCATTGCCCCTCAATTAATTTATAACCTAGTAATGATAAAGCCTGAAGTAAAGCATTAAATTATCTACATGTGAAGCCACACCCACAGATAGCCACTTGGTATCTGACATCATCGTATCACCTCTGCAGGGATGTTATCCTCACTTTGAGTATGTACTTATTTAAATGTGGAGGAAGATAAGCTTATCCACTTTGCTCTATATTCTAAGAATCTTCTGTAGACACAGAAATGATGGTAGAATTCAAGTGGCAATACCACATAGGTAAGCTGCGGCAAATAAAATCCTGATTTGGAAGAACACAGCTAAATTTGAGCTTCAACTCTATCAATTAGGCATCCTATTCTTAAGTTTATTAAAATAAGAAAATGCCTCCCTCCTTCAAAGGGGTCTAGTGATTGACTCATTTTGAATACTGAAAACACATTCTATTAGTCTTTATTCCCAAGTCACAGAATCAAATGTATGTAAGATCACATAAGGCTTGTTCATCAGCATTCTCTGTCATCCATTGTGTTAGATGTAGTGCCAAAAACAAAATGGTTGAGAGGCTAAGGAGCGAGAGGAGTTAACAGGGGTTAAACACAGTTGACAACAGAAGGATCTTACTGTCTTTCAACAGTGCCCTGTTTCCTCCAGATATAGAGTATGCATGCATATACCATAATTCATTGTCAAGGTAATATTTGAAAATAAAATGTCAGTGCTATCATTCAAGTAAATGGCTGCACTTAAGGCTATTGAGTTGATTTTGCTCTTTTGTAAGGCAAAATAATAAACCAACCTGGAGTGTAAGGTAATCAGCCAGGATCTGGATAGGATGGTACAAATCTGATAGCCCATTGATGATAGGAATGGATGCTTCTTTAGCCAAGATGTCCAGATCTGATTGTTTATACACTCGAGCCAACACTGCATCTGTCATGCTAGACAACACTCTGTGGCAAACCAAGGAAAGATAATCTGAGTTAATTATGTGTAGCAATTCCTTCTTTAATACAAAATCTTAATAATAAGAAATGCTAATAAATTATAATTTTTACTAGATTAAAGGCTGTCAACATGATAGATCTAAAATCTAATATTAAATATGTAGTCATTACAGGTGCTAAATGTTGTTCTGTCCACGTACTATCCAGTGACCAGAGATTTAAAATCCTTTACAGAGAGAAGAAATCAATTGTGGACCCAGAGCACGTGATAATGAATTATAACTGATAAATGGCAGCTGCTTAAATCAAAAAGGGCAAGCCCAAAAGACAAAATATGCAGTTATTAATGATCTATGATGTGATTTTGTTTCACATCATCCTAGATAAAAATATACACTTTCATCATGCAATTGGTATCCACAGGTTCTGTATCCATGGATTCACCAACTGCAGATAGAAAATATTTGGGAAAAAAATTGGATCTGTACTGAATGCGCACAAGTTTTTTTCTTTTCCTCTTGTCATTATTCTCTAAACAATGCAGGATAACAACTATTCACATAGAATTTACATTGTATTAGCTATTATCACTGACCTAGAGATAATTTAAAGGAAAAGGCAGGATGTTTATATGTTATATGCAAATACTATATCATTTTGTGTAAGGGACTTGAGTGTCCATGTCCATGAATTATATCAATAGAAAAGCACGGGAACCAACCCCCCTGTCCCCCAAATCCCAAGGGATGACTGTGTAGCATGGAAGCCATAGAAGTGTACACACAAATTGCCCTGCAAGAGAGAACCTGTTGCAAGGAGTTTTATTGGCTGATAGCCTCAGGCTGCCACACCTATGGGATCTGCTGGAACATTCTTGCTGAGGTCACATTCTTTCCAGGCTGTTCCCACTGTATGACTGAGCATGGAGCGTTGGGGGGTGGGGCACAGCTAGGTCATTCTTGCTGGCTATGAGTCCTCTCTGATGGGCAGTCTTTATTCTAGGACTGCCCAACTGACAAGCCCAAGACTGCCTCAGTTGTGCTGCTATCCGAGGGAGGCTCTTGCTACCCATTCTGTCTTCTTTTCCCTTCTTTCACTCAGACCTGTATCCTGCTCTGAAGGGCCTCCCTGCCTGCTCTGACTTTCTCTCTCCTTAATCCTTCACAGGTTTTCTCCTTCACACATTTTTTATTTTTAAAGATTTATTTTATTTATTTGAAAGGCAGAGTTACAGAGAGAGGTAGAGATAGAGAGAGAGGTCTTCCATCTGTTGGTTCACTCCCTAAGTGGCTGCAATGGCCTGAGCTGAGCTGATCTGAAGCCAGAAGCCAGGAGCTTCTTCCAGGTCTCCCACGCGGGTGCAGGGGCCCAAGCACTTGGGCCCTTTTCTACTGCTTTCCTAGGCCATAGCAGAGAGCTGGATCAGAAGAGCAGCCGGCTCTCAAACTAGCACCCGCACAGGATGCTGGCACTGCAGACGGCAGTTTAAACCTCTATGCCACAGTGCCAGCTTCTCACTCTGATTCTTATAAAAGTAAACATTCAAAAACTCCTTGCTGGGACTGTTGCTGTCATGCAGCAGGTTAATGCCCTGACCTGAAGCACCGGCATCCCATATGGGCGTCGGTTTGAGTCCTGGCTGCTCCACTTCCCATCCAGCTCTCTGCTATGGCCTGGGATAGCAGTAGAAGATGGCCCAAGTGCTTGGGACCCTGTACCCACGTGGAAGACCCGGAAGAAGCTCCTGGCTCCTGGCTTTGGGGCACAGCTCAGCCATTGTAGCCAATTGGGGAGTGAACCATCAAATGGAAGACCTCTCTCTCTCTCTACCTCTCTGTGTAACTCTGCCTTCCAAATAAATAAAATAAATCTTTTTTTTTTTAATTCCTTGCCCCCAGAAGTTAGAGGAACAAAAGATGGCAAACCATATTCTTATAATACTGTTTCCTAGACTTTTGAACTTTAAAGAATATTTACTAATTTATTCATTTATTTGAGGGAGAGAGAGGAGAGAGACAGGGAGGGAGAGAGAAGTAAGAGTATGTTTGATTGTAGAGGTCATACTACAAATTCCTTTAAATATGCATCTCTTTCTTTCTTTCTTTTTTGACAGGCAGAGTTAGACAGTGAAAGAGAGAGACAGAGAAAGGTCTTCCTTCCATTGGTTCACCCCCCCAAATGGCTGCTATGGCCGGCGCACTGCGCCGATCCGAAGCCAGGAGCCAGGTGCTTCCTCCTGGTCTCCCATGGGGTGCAGGGCCCAAGCACTTGGGCCATCTTCCACTGCCTTTCCGGACCACAGCAGAGAGCTGGACTGGAAAAGGGGCAACTGGGACAGAATCCGGTGCCCCAACAGGGACTAGAACCTGGGGTGCCGGCTCCGCAGGCGGAGGATTAGCCAAGTGAGCTGTGGCGCCAGCCTAAATATGCATCATTTTCTAAAGCGTGTACAGATAGAATTACATATCTGGATTTACACTGCTGTTGATCTTGTGGACTCTCATCATTAGATAAGCAGATTTGACTTCTGCTGTAGTCTCTGAAGCCATTTTAGGGAACTAGGATCATGGGCTACCAACTCCTATGGATTTCATTGAATTTTATAATGTTTAGTTATGTTTTGACAGATTTAGTATTTATGACATATAAAATTATCTTAATCTTTTTTTAAGATTTTATTTATTTATTTGAGAGGTACAGTTACAGACAGTGAGAGGGAGAGACAGAGAGAAAGGTCTTCCATCTGTTGGTTCACTCTCCAAATGGCCGCAACGGCCGGAGCTGCGCCGATACGAAGCCAGGAGCCAGGTGCCTCTTCCTGGTCTCCCATGTGGGTGCAGGGACCCACGGACTTCGGCTATCTTCTACTGCTTTCCCAGGCCACAGCAGAGAGCTGGACTGGAAGGGGAGCAACCGGGACTAGAACCGGCGCCCACATGGGATGCCAGCACCGCAGGCAGAGGATTAACCTACTGTGCCGAGGCGCCAGCCCCCATCTTAATCTCAAATGTGAAGAAACCAAGGTTTTTGAAACCCTTGTGGTAATTACAGCAAGTTTAGGACAGGGTAAATATGTCATCTCAAAAACTCAAAACAATTAAAAAATTAGAGTGAGGGAAGAGTAAGCTGGAAAGAGTGAAGTGCTCTAGTCCCGGTCAGGGTGCTGGATTCTGTCCCGGTTGCCCCTCTTCCAGGCCAGCTCTCTGCTGTGGCCTGGGAGTGCAGTGGAGGGTGGCCCAAGTGCTTGGGCCCTGCACCCGCATGGGAGACCAGGAGAAGCACCTGGCTCCTGGCTTTGGCTCGGCGCCAGCTGTGGCGGCCATTGGAGGGTGAACCAACAGCAAAGGAAGACCTTTCTGTCTCTCTCTCTCACTGTCCACTCTGCCTGTCAAAAAAAAAAAAGAAGGAAAGAAAGAAAGAGAGAGAGAGAGAGAGAGAGAGAGAAAGAAAGAAAGAAAGAAAGAAAGAAAGAAAGAAAGAAAGAAAGAAAGAAAGAAAGAAAAAGAGTGAAGTGCTAGGGGAGCACTTAGAGACATTAATGCCCTATACACAAATATTTCAAGAAGACCTATCAAAAGGCAGCTGTTGTGGTTCCCTCTCTTGAACAAGTCTCCATCCCTAAAGTTTCCAAGGCAAAGCATCCAAAAGGCAAGCATGCATTTGCATGTCCTGTTTCTAATGTCAGTGTGATATCCCTGGGTGATCTATGGTGGAATTTCATGGAAGAATGCTTGATTCGCTTTATTGAAGTTGCCCAGAACTTTCTAGAACAGAGGTTTTCTGCACATTAGCATCACCTATGAAGTTTACAAAATCCTGATGCCACATTCTGTCCTTTGGAAGGTTAAACCAGAAGCTATGGTTGTAGTAGCCACATTAATATTTGTACAGCTCTCCAAACCATTCTATTACGAAAACTATGCATAGAACCACCATTGTCCTAGAAAAGAGAGAGAGAGAGAGAGAGAGAGAGAGAGAGAGGAAGTGGGAGGAGAGTGGGCTATTGGGTATTCTGCTGCTGTGTGACACGCTATATCAATAAAGAGGAGGAAGTCTTAGTGGTTGTTCTAATCCCACATTATAAGAAACGTAAGGGATAACATGATCTACTATGCTGGAAAGAATAAGATTGTTTACACTTACAGAAGAAGTATTTTCCTTTCAGATCAATCATTACCAAGAGCAGTCCCATGGCAGCAGCAGTAGCTGAAGTCTTTCCCTCCCTCCACAGATGTAGGAATCCCTAGTGTCCTGTTTCGGTCTTCAATATTACTTTACTCAAAAGAAGGAACCAGAAGCCATTAGAGGATAGTCAATCCCATGTCCTTAAGCAGAATAAAATCAGAATAGGTCTGTAACATCCTGTTGTTGCCACAAAGCAAGAATAAATTTATAACCATCAGGGGCACTGCTAAAAGGAAAAAGAGTTAACTTAAAGGAGCTCCCATTTGTAAAGTTGTAATCATTTATATTAATAAAAATTCTTCAATGAAACCAGTTGTGTTTGTAAAAGGTCACGATATTTATAAGAATACAGCTTCTTGAGGTGACTAGTTTTCCTTTCCAGTGTGGTAGAATTGCATAAACCTTGAGAAGATTATAAAATAGTTTCTTCTGGGACAGGTATTTGGTGCAACAGTTAGGAGGTCATTTGAGAACGCTGCATCCTGTATGGGAGTGTCTTGTTAGTGTCCTTCACTTATAATTCCTTCACTTACAATCTAGCATCCTTTCCATGTATACACCGGGGATGAGCAGGTAATGGCTCAAGTACTTGGGCCCTTGTTACAGACATGGGAAAACTGGATGGAATTCCAGGCTCCTGGCTTCAGCCTGGTCTAGGACTTGCTGTTGCAGGCATTCAAGGAGTGAAATAGTGGATGGAAGATCTCTGTCTGTCTCTTTGTTTCTCTGTTTTTCAAATAAAGTGAATAAATGAATAAATAAATAAATAAATAAATAAATTTAAAATTAACCTCTTCTAGAAATCCTGACAACCAAGCAAT